GTCTTCGTCAGCTCATGCTCTTGAAGTTACATCTTTTTTTTCTTTTGAGAGTTTTTTCCTATACAATGCGTGTGCTCGCCAGAGAGGCAGAGAGACAGAAAGATAGGAAGTGAGAAATCACACACACACACACCCCTCCCAGGAGGATGGCCACGCTGCAATCTCTTCTCCATTCTCCTCTCAGGATTTTGGGCATGCACACAAACACACACACGGCGCGAGTTTCAAGCCTCCAGGTCTGGGACTCCAATTCCAGTCAGCCTTGTGGGAGTCCAGCAATATAATGATTACACCATTTGCTGGTTCAGAACTTACATCCTTTTTTTTTTTGGAGAGATTTTTGCTATAGGGCGCGTGCGCTCACCAGACAAAGAGAGACATAGAGACAGAAAGCGAGAAATCACCCCCTAGGGGGATGGTCATGCTGCAATCCCTTCTCCTCCATTCTCCTCTCGGGATCTTGGGCACGCACGCACACGCGCCCGGCGTGAGTTTTAAGCCACCGGGTCTAGGACGCGAACCGTGGTCGACTACGTGGGAGTCCAGCGACACAGCCATTACGCTAACTGCTGGTTCTCAGAACTTACATCTTTTTTAAATAAACTTTTTAGCATATCAAGTAGAATATTTCATTATTATTATTCTTTAATTTACTATAGGGCATGTGTGCTAACCAGAGCAAGAGAGTGAGAGGGGAGAAAGCAAGCCACCAGGGCCAGGACTCAAACCACGGTCAGCCATGGGGGAGTCCAGTGCCTTAACCACCATACCACCTGCTAGACTCCAGCTTTTCCTTTGTTTCATTGGATTTTATTGGCAGAGAACACACGTACTTGCCAGAGAGAGACAGAGACACAGAGGGAGAGGGAGAGAGGACCCCTTGAAGGGAATGGTCACACTGCAATCCTTTCTCTTCCATTTCTCCATTCTGTCAAGGTTCTGGGCATGCACACATAAGCCCAGGGGCAGGGCCAGGATTTGAACCATGACTGGCCATGTGGGGCCCAGCTCCCTCGACCGCTCACTGCAAGGCTGGCCCCAGATCCAGTTTTAGCAGCAGCTTCTATTCACCATAGCCACAGGCGCAAGAGGAAGACCTGCCGCACCGTGTCTGTGTGCTGACACTGCTGCTTCCACAGGCACCTGGCTGAGCACGTGTCACACTCTGGTCAGGAAGGCTGTGCGCCTGGAGAGGGCCGAGGGGGTAAGTCCACACCTGCCTCACACAACGCTCCTGACAGTAGCCCAACTTGTTCCTTCCAGAAACAGTCCCTGTGGCTCCCGCCATGTGATCTGAAAGACTGACAGCCTGACCATGGACAGGACCCGGGACCAGCGGCCAGGCTGACGGCAGTCCATGGAGACAGCTACCCCACCTGACAGCCTGACCACAGACAGGACCCGGGACCAGCAGCCAGGCTGACGGCAGTCCATGGGGACGGCTACCCCCACCTGACAGCCTGACCACGGACAGGACCCAGGACCAGTGGCCGGGCTGACGGCAGTCCATGGAGATGGTTACTCCACAGAGAAGCGAACTGTCTCTGAGATGGCGCGGAGTAAAACCTTCGCCCTTGGAGGTTGTCCACGGTGCCTGTGGCCCCGGCTGACCGGCTTGTCCTTTGGAAAGGGCGAGTGTGAGGAGTGCAGAGGCCACGACGCTGGGACCAAGGCTGAAATGTGAGCGAGCGGAATCGGAAGTACTGGGCCACAGCTGCCCAGGTTCTCAGTCACCTGCGTATCTCAGAAAGCCCCGGGTCTCAAACTGGGTTCCCTGGAACAGACGCTGAAATGAGGATTCATCTGCAAAGTGGCTAGGAAGGGGGGGAGGAGGGACAATGAGGGGCAACAGCGTGGTGGGAGTTAAGGCAGCCCTGCAAACGGTAGGGTAGCTTCTTGCCCCCAAAGAATTATTTAATTTTATTTAATCATCCTTTTTAAATTATAATTTGACCACACACACACACAAACACACACACACACACACACACACACACAAAGAGAGAGAG